CGTCCCCTCATGGCCCGGTGTCCGTTCCGTCCGTCCCTCTTCCCCCGCGTCCCTTCAAGGCCGGTCCTTCCCCTCTCTTCCCGTCAGGGACAGCTCGTCCCCCCCCCCCAGCGCTTTCCTTCAGGGACGGGTTCCCCGCGTCATCGTCCCCCTGTCCGTCCCCCTGTACCTCTCCACTTTCATTTAGGGTCGAGTCCTTCGTGCTCGCTTTTCCTCAGGATCGGTGACACCCCCTCCCCCTTCAGCTCCCCTCAGGACTGGGTCCTTTCCCTCCGCCCTCCATCCCCTCAGGGCCGGTCCCGTCTCCCCCTTCCCGGGGTCAGGGGCTCCCTTCACCTCCGTGCACCTCCCCTGTGTCCTCCCGCGGCCCCGAGGGACACCCGGGGACAGGCGCTGCTCTCAGGGGGCTCCTTCCGGCTGTCCCGGGTACCCCCGGCCGGGTGTTTGTTATCGGGGATAACCTGGCGCCGGAGCTCCTGGAGTGAGGAGGGTAAAAGATTGTTCTCTTCTGACCCCTGTTCAGTGTGGGAGCACTCGGTGCCGTTGGGACATCTCGACATTTCAGGCATCTGCTGTGGGAGCCGCTGCAGGAAAGAAACCCCAAACACAGCTGTCCTCGGAGCTGAGGGATCAGTGTAAGAGATACTCATCTTCCTCCTCTTCTTTCCTTTCTCTGTTGATCCAAGTGCCAGCCCGGCCATGGTAGACAGAGCACAGCCTGGAAATGTTAATGTACACTGCGTTCTTGTAATAAGTTTTCCTGCCCCTGGAGCTGACCTTATTCCCCCAGATGGCTGGATGTAGGTTGGGATCCCACCGAAGTCTTCTGAGGCTGAAGAGCTGTGGGGAAGTCCATCGTGTGTGTGTGTGTGTGTGTGTGTGTGTGTGTGATGAGAGGAGTGTGAGCTTGCCCGGGGCAGTGCTTTGGGGTGAGCAAATCAGAGAGTCAGAAAGAGTCATCCCATGGATCCCTCAGCTTTGCAGTTCTGCTGGCTGGAGCCCTGGATGGATAATGGCTGCTTGCACCTGTGAGCCCAGCCCTGGAGGTTTTTCCTTTCATCTCCTCTGTGCTTTATGACCTGGAGTGTTGTATTTGAGTGTCCTCTAGTACTGTACTTTAGAATCTTACTGACAGATGCTTAGAACAGTTTTCATACAAATAAGTTTAGTTGTTGATGTTTCTGTTCAGTTTCTTATGGTTTGGTTACTGTCCTGAGACATCTGATGCTTTGAAAGAGAAATGCCAATGTTGCTGCTGTGCACTTTTATTTCCATAATCCAGGCATGATGCTGAGGGACTAAATCTCGATGTCTATGCGCTTTTCAGAGCATTCCCTCTTGTATTTCCCTCTCTATGGAACAGCAACAGTTCTAGAGAGTGTCTTGGTGGCCAAGAGGCACAGCCAGTCCTGGTCCTAAGACCTATGAGCAGATCTGTTTCTCTGTTCTGTCTCTGTGGAGGTTGATTCCTCTTTCTTAACAATCTCTGCTCTCCCACCTGATGCACTTTGCAGCTGTTGCAGGTCTCCAGTGGTAGCAGTAGAGGGAAAGGCAGGTGTCCTCTGTCAGGCATTTAGACTGGCCTTTACATGCACAGCTGATGTGGCCTCTCCTGCTTTCAGAGAAGATGGCATGAGGGTTTTTCCTCCAGCAACCTGTTTGGAAGGTGAGGCAGGAAATCTGAAATGCATTGTTCTGCAGACCCAAATCCTGAGCAGATTCTGGTGCGTCTCTGAACAGGTTCAGGGCTGTAGGAATGTGCAGCTCAAGCCATGTGGTAGAACCCATTTTGTTTAGGACTAGTAGGATTACAGGGACAATTTTTAATTCCAGAACTGTGGGATTTACTTTAATATGTGCTTTTAATTTCTAGGATGAATGCTGTGCAAAAATTCCACTGCCTTCCATCAGGCCTGCTGCAACTGTAAACACGTTAATAGATTTCATGTGCTGGATGTCTTCGTGGTGTGACTGGATGTTAATAAACAATCATCTTGACAGGAGTTTGTGCCTGGAACACCAAGACTTGGGAAGGGACTCAGACAGATTTCCTGAAGATGTGTAGACATTCAGGCTGCTTGGAGGTGGTGCACTGTGGTAACAGGCTTTCTTCCATCTCTTTTTGTTGCTTCCTAGGATGTTTTCCTTCTGGTTGGCCTGGCTGCAGGCAGTCAGGGCAGGAACAGCGGTTCCTAGAAGAACATTTGGGGCAGGTGTTACTGGTGATAAGGTACAGTCTGGATTCCAGCAGGGTGCTGGCAGCCTGTTCCAGGGCTGGAGTTTCAGGAGCTGCCTCGGAAGCCCAAATTCCGGGGTAGCCCAGTGCTTTGTCTGACTGAGAATGCAGTGGGCGTTCCTGCCGCCGGCGAGACTTGTGCTTTGAAATTGGACACAAATCACTGAAGAGTCCTGTGGCAAGAATAGGTGGGGCAAACACACAATTCCGGCGGCTCTGGCGCAGCTGGAGAGAGACAGGAAGCATATCCCAGGGGCCAGGAGCTGATTAGCAACCTGGAATAGCAAAAACCTAAGTGCAAGAGACGTGGAGCCCTTTGGGTGTTGTTTAGTGCCTGCTGGAAGAATCTCCCATTCATTAATTTGGAATGGGTGTCTTATTTTAATTTATATCTTTCTAAAGCCATTGTGAGTGGTTTACGGTGTCTGAGCGCCAGCGGTGCTGGGTGTTGGGGCTTGCCACAGGCTACATTCTTTCTGGGACAGTCAGAGCTGCACCACTAATTCCTCTCATTGGAAGTTCAGGGTTGTTTTGGTTTTTTGCAGATGGATTTGATCTGGAGATATTTTAAGACACCCTTTAAATTACTGAATTTGGACATCATCGTAACTACTTAAAGACAAGGCATTAGCAGTCTCCAAAGCCTGTGTGTGCACTGAAGTGATGGTGGGGTTTCAAGCTGCTTCCTGTAACTGGGATTACTCTCAGTAGGATCCATCCCAGTGGGGATAGGTGCCTTTTTAAATACAGCAGAAGGTGTGAAACACACAGCTGCCTGGGGATAGCAGCTGTCTCCCGGGAGATAAGGTCATTTATGTACAGGCTGGGAGTTCCTGTGTTTGAAATAGAGCTGAATAACGGGGCTGGTCAGCATTATTCCAGAGTAGTTTTTTTTTTTAAGCAGGTTACTGGAAATGGGAAATCAGGGAGAGGTAGGCAGAGAAAATAGGAAAAAGAAGGGGGAAAAAGCCACTTAGCAGTGTTCTGGTGGCTTGAATAAGTTATTCTTACCAAAGCACCAAGATGAGAGATAATAAGGAGTGCCTCACTGAGCTGGGATAATCTTGTTCTCAGCAGCCTTCATGTCACTTTTATAGAATTTCAGGTTTATTTTGGACTATCTTGGGAGTGATGTTTTTCCTCTGGGTCAGTGCTTAAGGGCTTGCAGTGGTTTTAAATTCGTAACGATCCTTGAGAAAGCTTAATTCCTGAGGATGGGAAATGATATTCCTTCTGAATGACACCTCTCTCCTAATTACCAACCCTGCTGTGGTTCCCTGCCTGTGTTCATGAGGGGAACTGTCAGTGCCTGATTAAGTGGAAAAAGATTGGGCATTAGGGAAAGATTTCAACGTGGGGCGGCTCCTACCCTGAGCCACGATGTCACCTCGCAGTGTTCCTGACCCAGGTCAACAGGAATTTAAATTTAATATGTGGCTTCCTCTCTGGCTTTAGGGAGCCCCACTCCTGTGCTGATGCTGGTGGTGCCCAGCTGCTCCCAGGGTGAGTTTTGGAGACTGTGGTTGCCCCTCATAATGAGAAGCACAGTTGATGAGCTGAAATAAAACTCTGTGAGTGTGTGGGTGTCAGGGTGACCTGAAGTGTTTTCAGTTGGCCTTGGAGGCCAAGCGTGGTGTTGCTCACCCTCAGCCTGCTCTCCCCTGCAAGGAGGCCAAGCTACTGTTTGCATTATTCAGAGAACTATTTGGATGGGATCTGTAGAGTCATCAGATGATACTGCTCTGCAGTACAAGGTGGTCGGGATCTGTGCTAGCTGGAATCTCTTTTTGGGTGAATATAGGAATGAAAAATGGCCTCAAGTAATAATGGTTTGTCCAAAGCACTCCTCACACAGGGCTCCTGTACTGCTTTATCCAGTCTGACATGCTCTTACTAAGCTGTGGGCACTGCTCCTGTTATTTCTTGGAGAAAAGCAGGCCCTTGCAAAACCAGGGTGAGGTACAGATTTGCACTTCTACTTCCAAATCCCCTCCCAAAGACATGATGCATTTTTGTGTGATGGAGGGAGAAGGAAAAGCTCTCCCTCAAGATGCGTCAAAGCAAGATGATGCTCGCAGAAGATTTTTGGTTGAAGGCCAGTCTTGGAGGGAGCTCTAGCCCATGTACCCCTGGCAAGTGCAAGCTCTGTTGGGCCCTTGAAACACATTTCAAGGGATTGGCAGAGGGAAAGACAGCAGTGCTGACAGCTGCCTGCAGCACAGCCACGATGCTGCTGAAGACTTTCCTCCTCTCCCTGCTCTGCTGTCGTGTGCTGAAATGCAATTTGAGGGAGATGACAGCAGCAGCATAATGGGGAGGCAGGAAAAGCAGCTCTCTTTTTTTCTTTCAGGAAACCAAGCGAGGTAGGGCGTTTAATGCCTCCTGTGCTGCTGGGATTTCCAGCTACGGATGAGCAAGAGCTGGGAGCAGTAACTTGGCTAATGTCAATAGTTATCTGTAGATTGTAAAAGCAGAATCCTTTCATACTGAAGCAGGCTTCATTGTGTATCAACTGGGAGGTGCCCTTGGATCTGCCAGGACTAGCACAGACCAGCTCACAAGGGCTGGAATGCACCTCTGCCTTGGACACAGTGTCTGGAGAGTGCTCCTCAGCTCAATGTGTGTGTGTTTATTTAGCAGTTTGTGGCTGTTTTTACTGACCCTCCAGCCCAGGTGGTTAAATAATCTGTCTGATATTGCAACACCCAGGAAGAGAATTTCTGTTCTGCTGTGAGGATTCACCCAGTGTTGGACACGAGTGTGTTGACCAAGGGTGGGCACAGGATTCACTGCCTGAAACAATCTGCCTTTAGCAACTGCTCTGAGTGCAGCCTGTGTAATCTCCTGGCTGTGGCCTGTGGTGGTTTTTGTAGTCCTGTGTCTGTGAAATGTTTGTTTGCTTTGGTATTAGTGAGTACCGTACAGTCTCATTAATCTACAGGACTATGGACCTGGAGAATTAATGCACAACTCTTCTTTCCTCGCTTTTTAGCTCATAATTCATTAATTTGTGAACTTTAGTAGTCTCAGAAGGGATTCATGCTGGATGTGGAGCATCTCCAAATGCAGACACCATCTAATTTCACTGTTTTCTGTTCTGATACAGTCATACTTACCTCAAATGCAGCCTCTTTGCTTTTCTGCTATTTTAACATACACACAGTGACCACTGCCACGTGACATGGATGAAGTCAGGCTGGACAACTGTCATGAGCCTGGAAGACTGCCCTGGGTTTTCACTGCTGAGAGTTTGCTGGGCTGGAATTGGCCGCAAGGCTACACGTGGCTGTAAACAAAACTAAACCCAGTTTTACAATGTTGCTGGCTGGAAAATCTTTTGACAAGTGGTCATCTGTGGTGCTGGAGCAGTAAGGAGGTAGTTGCAGTTCTTGTCCTCCT